AGGGAGGGGAAAAAAAAAGGGGAGGAAGGAGAGAGGGGGGAGAGAAAGGGAGGGAAGGAAGGAGGGAGTGAGGGAAGAGGGAGGGAGGGAATGGGGACAGAGAGTAGAGGGAGGGAGGGGAGAGAGAGAAAGAATGGAAAAAAACTAAATAGAAAGAAAGAAAAAATAAAAAACGAAACTATAAACACCACACCTAAAAGAACCTAACAACAAAACCCCATCCATAATTTTATTCCAGGAGGAAATGGCCGTGATGGGCGACACCTCCACTGCCATGAGGGACCCAGTTTTCTACCGTTGGCACAAGTTCGTGGACGACACCTTCCAAGAGTACAAGTTGATGCAAAGACCGTACACTGAGCAGGATGTGAGTTCTTGATCCCAAAGTCTATATGAGTATGATAAGTACAGGTCTCGTCACTTCGGAGTTCTGGCAGCTTTTGGTGATGAGGCCTATGACGTCACGTGGCGCGGAGGGAGAGCGGGGGTAGGGTGGGAAGAAGATCATAGAAAACGGTAGTGAATGAGCAGATACTCAAGTAATTTTTGATATCGGCCTATATCGCTTATTTTACGGGGGGTCAGTTTTGTAATTCTCATGCTGCAGCTTAGATATGGTATAATTAATAAATAAGATAAACAAAGACATGGCATATAGACCTTGCCTGATCCCATGAGATCTTGTCGTAGTTGGTTGGTAGATTATGTTGATGAGGTTGTGGATATCCCCGGAAAGGGAAAATGATATGGTGTGTGAATATTTTTTTGTTGTGTATCCCTGCTTAATGGAAAAAATGAAGATATTCCGCTTTTTATATATCTCCGGAGCCTAAAGAAATAATTCCTTTTTATATATCTCCCCGGAATAAGGAAAAAAATGAACTCATTTTAAATATCTCCGCAGAATGAAAAATATATACATATATCGCCACAGATCGTAATATATATATATATATATATATATATATATACATATATATATACATATATATATATATATATATATATATATATCCCCACAAATCGAAAAAATACACCACCTCTCATATCTCACAAAAAAACGACACCCACTCCCTATTCCAGCTAAACCTTGCGGGCGTGAAGATCGAGCGCGCGGGCGTGGTCAGGAACAACGAGGCGGACGTCCTCCACACGGGCTGGAACACGCGCCTCTTCGAAGCCAGTCGCGGGCTGGACTTCAACGGGCGGCCTGTCATGGTGCGCCTCACACACCTCGACCACGAGCCCTTCAACTATCACCTGCAGGTCAGGCTTTGGGGCTTCTGGAGTTCGCGTTGTATTGATATATGATGATATGATGGTATATGATATGATGGTGTATGATATGATATGTTATATGGTGATGCGATATGGTATGATATATGGTGATGCGATATGGTATGATATGATGATATGATATGATGGTATATGATATGATATATGGTGATGCGATATGGTATGATATAATGATGCGATATGATGGTATATGATATGATATGATATATGATGATGCGATATATGATCTGATATCATATGACATATGATCTGATATTATATGATATATGATACGATATGGTATGCTATGCTATGATATAATGTAATATAATGTAATTTATATATGATTACCCATTTTACGAGCCAGTTTAGCGTGTTGAAGCTCAAGTTTTGTGGGTACTAGGGCTGTTGTGATTTGATATGAGTAATCAACAGCAAACATGAGCGTATGAGGTCACAAAAGTTGAAACAATGGTACTACAGCTGAGGCCACTAAGGTCATTGCTGATGTATGCAAGATGAGGTGAAATGAGGTGACAGAAGCGTACTTTCAGTTCACGTAAAGAAATGCATTTGAGGGAGTTATTTTAGCTTTTACAACTGTTACTTAAACTCCTATTCCTGCGTGTTAGCTTCATCCCCGATTCTCTCTATCTTAGAAATCATTTCTTCCCACCCACCTTCTTCCTCCCACTCTTTTCCCTTCCCCTTTCTCCCTCTCTAAACTTCCCCTCTCTCGCGCCTCCCCTCCCTCACGTCTCCCCTCTCTCGCGTCTCCCCTCTCTCGCGTCTCCCCTCTCTCACGTCTCCCCTCTCTCGCGTCTCCCCTCTCTCGCGTCTCCCCTCTCTCACGTCTCCCCTCTCTCACGTCTCCCCTCTCTCACGCCTCCCCTCTGCAGGTGAGCAACAGCGGACGTGGGGTCAAGGAAGTGACAGTGAGGGTGTTCCTGGCCCCGAAGCTCAACGCCCGAGGCCAAGAGATGAGCTTCATGGAACAGCGCATTCTGTGGGCCGAGATGGACAAATTCACCGTCTCCTGTGAGTTGAGGAATAGTCTCAGATTTGGCTAAATGTTTTAGATTTGTTGGCAATGATGGGGAGAAATTGGCTAAGTAAAAATCGTCTTTAAATTTATAGGTAATGATGGGAAGAAATTGGCTAAGTAAAATCAAGTCTTTAGATTTATAGGTAATGATGGGAAGAAAAGGTAAGTAAAATCGTCTTTATATTTATAGGGAATGGGGGAAATAAATAGTCTAGGTAAAAATCGGCTTTAGATTTATAGGTAATGATAGGAAGGAGTAGTCTAAGTAAAAATCGTCTTTAGATTTATAAACAATGATGGGAAGAAATAGTCTAAGTAAAAATCGTCTTTAAATTTATAGGCAATTATGGAAAGAAAAAGTCTAAATAAAATCAAGTCTTATGCCGTGATGGTTCAAGCATATAATTTAAGCCTCATTCCATGATTTATTATAAGAATAAAGCCTTATAAATTCGAATCATATTCCGTGACATTATTATCAAGTCATAATAAAACCAAATATTATTCCGAAATCCATAATTATTATCAACCCTTACAACATCCCATCTATAACTCACCATCTACAACCTAATCAAAATAAAAAAATACATAATATGATATAGAAATAATATAAAAAATACATATGATATAGAAATAATATAAAAAATACATATGATATAGAAATAATATAAAAAAAATACATGATATATAAAAAATATATAACAATATAAATATAGATATAAAAAATACATAATATAATATAAATATAATATAAAATACACATAACATAATATAAAAATAATATAAAAAATACATAATAGGAAAATAATATTAAAGAATCCCTCCTTAATCAGCCACGTAATCCCCAATTCCTCACTTCTCCCTGACCTTTCAGTGAAGCCAGGCAGCAACCACGTCGTGAGGTCATCTAAGGACTCCTCCATCACGAACGCCGAGGAACTGACCTTCAGGGACCTTGAGAACGCCAACATCGATCCAGGTGACCTTTGCTTGTGTTGTTTGGAAGAGGGGGGGGGGTGAGGGGAAGGGATGGGGAAGGGAGAGTGAGGGGGAAGGGATGGGGGAGGGAGAGTGAGGGAAAGGGAGAGGAGGAGGGAGAGTGAGGGGAAGGGATGGGGGTTGAGGGGAAGGGATAGGGGAGGGAGAGGAGGAGGAGGAGGAGAGGAAGAGAAAGAGGGAAAGGGAGGGAAAAGGGGAGGGAGACGGCAGACAGACAGTAACAAAAAGACAAAAAACAAACGAAGCATAACAGAGAGAGAAAGAAGAGACTGTCTTTATCTCCGATTCATAAATAGAAAAAATAAAACGATTCATAAACAAAACAAAAATAAAACGATTCATAAACAAAACAAAAATAAAAGTCCGATTCATAAACAAAACAAAAATAAAACTCCGAATCATAAACAAAACAAAAATAAAAGTCCGATTCATAAACAAAACAAAAATAAAACTCGTGATGATACAGAAGCAAAATGAACACAACAATAACAAAACTCTTAATCATAAACAAATGAAAAATAAAACTAATCATAAATAAAGGAAAAATTAAACCCCTAATCATAAATAAAAGAAAAATAAAACTAATCACAAACGAAAAATAAACAAAAAACAATAACAATAACAAAACTCCCAATCACGAAAATAAAAACAAAAGAAAAATAATTCTCCTCACACCGACGTCCCTTCTGCACAGCTTCTCCTGAGGCCACGGGTTTCAACTTCTGCGGCTGCGGGTGGCCTCAGCATATGCTCCTCCCCCGTGGACGACCCGAGGGCATGCCTTTCCAGCTCTTCTTCATGCTCACCGACTATGCCCAAGATAAGGTATTTCCTGGGATTGTGTACGATCAGCTGGTCGATTCTGATTGGCGTATGTGAATGAATATATGTACTGTATCAGCTGATTGGCGTATGTGAATGAATATATGTACTGTATCAGCTGATTGGCGTATGTGAATGAATATATGTACTGTATCAGCTGATTGGCGTATGTGAATGAATATATGTACTGTATCAGCTGATTGGCGTGTGTGAATTTATATGTACTGTATCAGCTGATTGTCTTCTGCTGATTGTCTCATTTACTATCATAAATTTATCTCATTATTTTCACCATCATATTCTTTTCTTCAACATAATATCGATATCTTCAACATCGTCCTTATCTCACCTATATATCATTTATCTTTATATCGTATATCTTTACTACTATATCCTTATCATATCTATGTCTTTACAGTCATGTCATATCATATCTATGTCTTTACAGTCATGTCACATCATATTCTTATGTCCATCGCCATGACCTTATCTTCTCCATGGTATCCTAAATATCACTACCATATCCTTATCTCCTTCATTATATCCTCATCTTCATCATATCCTTATCTTCTTCATTATATCCTTATCTCCTTCATTATATCCTCATCTTCTTCATCATATTCTCATCTTCTTCATCATATCCTTATCTTCTTCATTATATCCTTATCTCCTTCATTATATCCTCATCTTCTTCATCATATTCTCATCTTCTTCATTATATCCTTATCTTCTTCATTAT